AGCAGGGGCCGCGTGCAGCCTGCTGGGACACGGGAAAGGTGTCAGAACTAGCTGCAGGGCAGGCGTCGGAATGGAACGGCCTTCTCCCTTCAGTGACACTGACCTGTGCAGCAAACAGAGAGCGCGCCTGCTGACCTGTTCTGCTGATCCCTTTCGCGCTCGGATCCCTCTAGAGCACTGCTGGCATCAGTCGTGGAGCAACCTGATTAGGACTGGACTAACAGACTTCACTGTACGGCATCTTCACTGACTACAAGATGACTTCTTCTTTGTTAGTCGAGAAGTGCGGGGGAAAAAAAAAAGACATAAGTGATTCTGTCCCTTGCCAGCATAAGTTGCTGTTGAAAGGACTGTTTTTATTTCCAGCTGTAATTACTTCAGGCTCTCTGGGTAGGACTGCAGGACACTTACTGTTCCTTGAGGTGACATAAAACCAATTCTATTTAATGCCGTGTAGCAGCAGAGTACTGCTGCAGAGGGGAGCGGAGCTTGAGCCTGCGCTGGGAGGGTGTTCTCCATGGCTCTCCCAAGACCCTGCCTGAGCCAGCGCCGCGAGGGTGCTGTGGGCGGCTCCAGAGCAAGCCACACGCGGGACCTTCCTGGGTAGAGGCAAGAATCGATTCATGAGCTTCTAATAATTACCAAGGGGGGAAAAAAAGAGGAGTCGGGGGTGGCATGCAGCAGGTCTTCACAAGTGTTACTCCACTAATCACTTGCACTCACCGTCAGTCTTGCATTCCTTATAAAAATAGACTTAAGTGAGGAGCTGAGTAGGGTCCCAGAATAAATACAAAATGCAACAGGGTGTCCGCTTTCCAGTTTACTGTAAAGAATTGTCAAGTTTATGGATAAATACATACCTTGCGTTACTATGAGCCTATTATTTTAACTTAACTCTGTAAAACTGAACAGACGGTTTATCACCTAACAACTTATTGTATTTATTTAAAGGACAAAGATGTTGCAAGGCTGCAGGATTTCCAAGAACTGGAGCTTGTTCTAACAGTAAGCGACAAAAACTTATTTTTGAGAGCCCCAACGCTTTCTGAACGGAGTGGTTATAACAAGAAGGCATCAGAACTGACATATTAATTGTTTAAAGAATAAAACAAAAGATTTGTATCTCTTATCTAAAAGTACGTTTGAAATACAGTATCTATAAGGGCTAATGATGCTAAAAAATTCTATTTTGTTAACCTTGAAATAAACTAAAGTTGTTATGCACAGTTACAGCCTGTAGTTAATCTAAGAGTAATGACTCCAATATGAAAGTAGCTTAATGCCAGGGAAATATTGGTAGAACTGTCTGTTAATGCAACACTTTTCCTTACAAAAAGATAATCTTGAAATACTGCAGAGTTAGCAGCTCTCAGGGAAAGGCTTACCTTAAACTGTGTGCTATAAAATAGCAGAGGCACTTCAGCTAAAGAACCTGCCACGAAACCCATTTAATATTTGTTCTGAGTCCATTACTGTTAACGTTCACTTTTTAGATCATGGATTTTAAGTCATATCTTTCTTAGAGGGAAAAAAACCAGAAGGGTTTAAATCTGTGGAAGAAGCACAAAACTATGGCTAGTTGAAATGCTGTCAAGTGACTTATTACCTGTGATTTCTTAATCACCCTTTACACTTCTCCCTATTTCTCAGGTTGAAAATAAAAAGTGATAGTAATTATCCAAATCATAATTATGCTCTCAACCAAAATCCCTTTTATTGTTGTCTGTCAATATATAGTATTGACGTGTGCAATTTAAAATACTATTTTTTGTTACTGTATTGAAAACACATTTCTTCAATGCTGCTTTAACTTCCCCTTTTAAAAGCACAAAAATTGTAATTTTATTTTCCTTTTACCTCTGCATTCCTGTTGCCTGTGTAAAAAGAAACTAGTGAAATGCCCAGGGTTTTCTGGGCTGGTATTCAATCTTGATGTTCCTATGCAATGTATTTTCTTTTTTTTCCAATGACTTGCGTTTACTTGCATTGTTTACTGAAAAAAATCACTTTTCTTGTTGCTTAAAACTCAGAATTAGACTACTTTGTGATGAAAATCTGGAATAAATAAATTGAAAAGTATTTAAGAGCTGCACTTTATCTATTTTTTTAGGATTTTTAGTATTTACTCAGTCATCTCCATTTGACGAAGGCTGCCAGAACAGAACTCTTAACTGTACAAGCATGTAGTACGAATTAGCTGAATGAACTAGAGTCAGAGATGTAACAGGCAAACAGGAGACACCAAACTGGACTGAATTACCCTCTGGTTCTTCCTCTTCCCCCTCCCTTCCCCCCAGTCTCTTCACAAACTACAGCAACCAAAAGATTTTACGGTCTCGTTGTCTAAGAATTCACAGCCCACGTTAGCTGTGCAGCGTACAGTAGTAGCGTGCTGGGCAGGGAGCCGCCCAGCCTAGCTGGGGGACCTGCTGAGGCCAGGACTGCGTCGTAAGCCGGTGCCGCTCCAGATGCCTTCCTCAGACTGGAGCTGGGCATCCACCACGGCCGTGGCTCCTTTCCGGAGGCTGTGGCAGGGGAAGGCGTTCGTTCCTCCCCTGCAGTCAGAGCAGTCGGCTGTATTGCAGCTCACAGAATAGGAACTGGGACCCCGATTTACCGGGACCCCAACGTACCGGCGCGCTCTCCTCCTCCTCCAGTGAGTAGTCCTTTGTGCCAAGGGCAGCAGCTCCGCGGGAGCGCCCGAGCACAGGAGAGGGAGCCCGCTCCCAGGCGGCCCTGCAGTTGGATGGCCAGGGTTCCCCCGAAGCGCAGATCCATGCAGACGCCCAAACTGCCCGTCTGCCAGTTATCTAGGCTGAAGTTAGTCTCCCAGGGCTAACAGGAGAACGTTTTGGCACAACAAAATAACCTCTTCGGGGAGGTGCTGGAGGCCACGTTGTCCGAGTCATTGGCAATATCTGTTTGTTTGTTTACACCAAATTGGTGGTGGTATACCAACTTCTGTATAATGGAATCATCAAATTGTTATTCCTCGTGTCACACTGTTGCATTCTCCCTGGCAGGCAGAACAGAGGGGGTTTCGGCACCGGCTGTCTAAACCCCAGCTAAATCCATGAAGGTCCCAGGCTTAACCAGTCAGACCTACTAGAGAAAAGCCCAGCTGTTGGGTTGATGACTTCCTTGCTAAACTGATGTCTCGCCTAGATGCTGATCGCCATCTATGCATTCCGAGGAATATTTTTATACCTTATGCAGTTTATACACAGAAGATACTATTAACACTCCTAACAATCTGATCAGTGTATAATCCTTACATCACTGTGTATGATAAATAATTCATTACTTTGTGCTCTGCTATATGAAGTGTTAATGTCAAATGACTGCTTGGCTGCAGATTCTTGTTTCTATTTAAGAAGTATCATTTGTAACAATTAATAAATGATTATTTTTGTCTTCTCAAAGTTTTTCTGAACTTTACTTGTGGAAAAACATTGGAACTTTCACTTGCCAGGGAGGTTTCTAGAGTGCTTGGTGTTAGCGAACAACTAAAGCAAAAGACGTTCTACCAGATTCTGGCAGCAAATATTTAAACACAGTACTCTTATCTAAGGAGGTTTAGTTATCATAATAAGGCAGATACTTCTTTCTGCAAAAGAAATCACACATTATTTCAGGTGATTAGGTGTTGAGTGAGATAGATTACACATCTGCTCGGCACGCACGTTCAGCTTAGGTGGAGACTTACTCATAGTGACTTCATACATGAGAGAGATACAGCAAAATTATAACACTTCTGTGCCAGTCATGTCCCTGCAGGCTTATGGGGAGTCTACTAAATTGATAGAAATTGTGTAGTTAATGATTTATGTTAAGCCATCTGTAGGTTTAGTTTTAAATACATTACTCATATTTCTTGCACCGAAGAGGAATTTTGTAATGCTCAAGTTGCCCTGGGCAGGGACGCCAAAGGTCCTGGGGCAGCTCGCAGCCCTGAAGCTGTAGCATTCAGCTCCCGTGTCCTGGGGGAATACTGAAAGGAACAGGTTGGAACCGGTCGGAGATTACACATTATTTCACTGTTTTTTCAGCTGAGTCATTGCTTAATTGGGCCTGTCATTCCACTGCAATACCAACGAATCCTTATGCAGAAAACACACGAAACCAGGTGTATTTTGTACCATTAATATAATTTACTAATTATAAATCTGAATGCAGTACATACTGCCCTGCAATGCATACATTTTCTTGGCAGAATGTTTGACATTCTTTGGAAAAAAGGCATATAATAAAATATAGAAAATATTTAAAAATATAAAATTCACTTTCTGGTCCTTATAATTGTAAAATGTTCACATATCACAAGTTTAGTCCACTACAAAAATTGTTTTGTAAATTACAGTACATTCACAAGTCACTTTTGTGGCAAGTCAGTAATATTTAAAAAAAACCAAACCAACCACAACCAAAAATCCAAGGAAAGGGCTTCTTTTCATGCTAGTCCAGCATCTTTGGCCATATTGTAGAATATACCCTTGGATGCTATAAGGCGTGCAGGTGTATCGAACTCAGCTATGGTTCCATTGTCTAGAACGAGAACCCTGCGCAAAACAAAAGGCAGCGGTGGGGGAGAAGCCATGTCAGAGGATTCCTCGCAAGAAATGCGACAGCCCTTTTTGTGACCAAGCAAACTGCTCTAATCTTTGCCTTGCCTTTGTTGTACTCAGTTATTTGCACACGTTGAAATACAACAGGTGATAAACGTTCTCTCTGAATTGCCTTTTGAGGTAAAAAGGTACAGGACAGTCACTGTCTCCCAGGAGTAATAAGGTGAGGGGGGGCAGACACACAAAAAAACCCCAAACCAGGTGTCATACCAGTAGTTCTGGAATTGAAAATAGAATACCAGAAGGCCAAGGAGATAAAAGCTCATGAAGTATAGTAATATATTTTAAAGTAATTAATATGACATGATGTCAGTGTAAAAGTTACGGCAGCTGCTAGTTAAAAAAGGATCCATAAACTTGCTGACAGTGCCATTAATGCAGCTGGGCAGTGTCTCTCGCACAGCTCTGGTTCGTGACTATAGAGCCTGTTTCTTACGCCCACAGAAGCAAAGTCAGGTCTGGATATTCTAGGATTATATGGCTTAAACATCATTGCTTACATGCAACCTGACAAGAGCAGCAGTGTGACTATCTGGAGACAAACCAGGCCCTTTTAAGTGCTGCTTCACATACTGAGTAAACCAGTGAGGCCCCTCCCCCCCATTAAGAGATTTTTACCTTGTGTAATCCATAATTGTGTTCAGCCTGTGTGCTATTGTCAGCACCGTGCAGTCTTCAAACTGCGTCCTAATGGTCATCTGGATAAGGTCATCTGTTTCGAGGTCGATCGCCGCTGTCGCTTCGTCAAGGATCAAGACTCTCGTCTTGCGAAGCAGGGCTCTTGCCAGACAGACGAGCTGTCTTTGGCCAACGCTGCCAACAGAGACAGGGCTTTCACAACGCAGCCCCACTGCCCTGAGCTCTCCACTGCTCAGAGTCACTTGTGCTGGAGCAGATCACTCACCAGGTGAAGTCACCGAACAAAAAAATGAGTATTTAGCCAACAGTCCAGTCTGTGAGCCCTAGAGCTAACAAATGCACATCGCAGCAGCACCCAGCTAGCTTTAGCATATGTGTTCACTTCCTGCCTGACCCAGTGCTGACAGAGCCACCAAATGCCCCCTTTCTACCACTGTGACAAAGCCAGGGAAACTGATGATTACAGTGCTTCTGCCCGAGTTTTCAGAAACACACACAGTTGTAACAACACTGAGCATCTGCAAACTTACAAAATAAAAAGACTAGAAGAGAAGAGGTGGGGAAAAAACAGTTCTAAGGCTGCAAGTCCTTTCCACCACTCCCCCCCCAAATCTCTGGGCAGCCCACACTTCCTCCCCTGCCACAAACACACCCCAGACACAGACTCTGAGAATCTCTGCGGGCTGAGGACGGGGCTGAACATTCATCACATACACAACCTGGTTACACCACAGTCTCAGACGCCAATGCAGCATATCAAAGCACGGCATTTCATCATCCCCATTCACTTCCTCAAGGGTCTTCCAAATAATAATGGAAAATACACACTGCTAAAGTGTCGGTTTAGGCAGAGGACTCTTATTCAGCACAACAGATATGTTACCATGGCATTTCCCTTCCCTACCAAACCACATCTAAGGGACTGCCTATTCCTGATACCAGTAAAGAAAGAAGTCTCAG